GGGAAAAAGAATTACTAACGTTTTTCACATTCTTTTTTCATTATAACTTTACAGCTCAGTTGTTCATCTCAGTACTTCAACTTGAAAGTTATAAGTTTACATACTCTGGCTTAAAAACTCACTTGAAGGAGGGGGTGACCGGGATGATCTAAACTTCCAATCTAGCTCATGTCCTTGGCACTGGTGGCTGAGACCCCAACATCCTGCTTTGAATCTTGGCATTTACTCCATGTTACTATTACCATCATAGTGTATTTCTCCTTTTGAAAAGACAGTCAAGAGCCCTTCTTTCCAGCCCCAGTTCTGATGTACAAACTCAGATGTCTCTACATCTGTATGGCTCTGCAGCTGGATTTTGGTAACAAGGAATTTGTGCAGAGAAAATCAATCAAAATAGTTCAAATGATCAACTCTGCCAATGCAGTACCCTGCTGAGAAGGGATGATGCGAGTCCTTACCTTCGAGCTACACTTGTACAGGGGGTGGCTGATGGAGTCAACGTAGTGATGCCTCATACAGCGGCTGGGATCGGAGTCAATCATGAAGGAGCTGTCTGTTTTACCATCCGCGTCTCCCATCATTGCCAGGAGCGAGAGCATGGAGATTGAAGCTGCGAGTACATGATTTCCCATTGTCGAGGAACTTCTCACTGATGACAGCAGAGGGAGGTAGAGTATTAAAAAAACTCCAAATACTGGCAGCCAGTTCCTTTCCAGGATGGTGAAGAGTCTGGTTTAAGTCTCTTAGCTGTCATTTTTCTTCTCGAGTTGGAGTTTGCTGAGATTGTAATCCGTCAAAGAATCTCCTGCATAGCTGGAATAAAAACAACATAAATCACAATCCTGATCAAAAAGAGCTCTGGAGAAAAACAGACATAAATAATATTAAGGCACACAGGATTTTTGCTGGCCAAAATACACTCTCCGAGTGAGCATCATTCCCACAATAGGTAGAGTTCATGGCATTAGGAAGGAGATGTCAAGGTCCTGTTGCTTTAAGCATAGCTCTGGCATTTTACTGGGGAGAGCTATTTGAGTTTTAACATCGCAAGTGCTGCGATGCCAATCTTCTTCACTTGGTGATGTCTCTAACGAATTTCCCTCAAACTGGTGATTAGTAACACATCAGATATTTCTGCAAATTCAGAGAACTGTGCATCCACTCAAAGCGTCAAAAAACACCCCCGGGTGGACGGGGAGAGGGGCACAAAGCTAGACTGCCCCTTGCGTTACATATGGGAATTTCTGGCAGGTAGCACGTGGAGAGGCTGGAGGCAGCTGATGCCTGGCTCTAAGGACTGCATGCAACTACAAGGAGCACACTCAGGATAGAGGGATGCCATGGGTCTGAGCCCAGACATGGGCAGAGAGTTCCTTGGGAAATTCACTGAGCATGGTCCTGTGCTGCATGGGAGACCTGCACCTGTGTCTGTAGCTGCCCTGCCCTCCTGAATACCAAACTCCCACGCACAAAGGTGGGCACACTTTACCTGCTTATTCTTCAGGCTGCGGCTGCTGAGTTTCAGGCTCTTTCCCATTCGTTAAAGAGCAGCATCTGAAAAATACATTAGATTCTGTAATACCCAAGTACATCCCAGCTATCAATTAGGAAAAAAATACACACAGGTGGAATAATGGAGATTGCCACTCAAACATCTGTATTTCTGCCACATGTTGGAGATCAGGAGATCCTTCAGTTAACAGGAGCAGGACAACCTCCAAAACGCTCTCCGTGCCGCTGTGTCAGCAGGGAATGGGGGGCGTCTCCCTCAGCTGCATCAGCACAGCCCCTTGATCCTTCTCACAAAGCCCACAGTCCTACATGAGTGATTTCATTTTGCTTTTACTACAAACAGCTAAAGCTTGAAAGCACAGCGAATTATCCATCCCTATGTAAACTGACAAAGAAAAGGACAGCCCTAAGCAGAGTTAAAAGCGTGAGGACTTTCTGGAGAAACTTATGATAAAGCAGTTCTCTGGTCAGGCAGAAATGCTCCCCTATTGCCTCTTGCCTGTTTAAAGAGCTGCTGTGTGCCTTTACTGCCTGAAACAAGCCTCTTTCAAAACCGTTCGGTGGTTTGCTGGCAATACTCTAAACCGACTGATACTCATCTCCCAAACAGCCTGAAATTACGAGGCCTCCCCACCAGAGCGCTCAATGATTTGTGTGTTGCTCTATAGCTTGCTCAAAGGCTTTTGTGAGAGGAGTGCATAGCAGTGAGAAACACTTCCAGAGTTCATCCAAGCTGGGAGTTGGGACTTGTGGGGCTGAAGTGACACACAAAGGCTCACGCTGGGAAGAAATGTAATTAGGGATGCTTTGTGTGTTAGACATTTTACAGCGTTTTTTGGGTTTCAAGCTATTGTTTATGTGTGTAAGAAGGAAAGGAAAAATACTCTGACTTTGAATTTAGTAGACAATGTATTTTTTTTTGCCAGAGTCTGATCTATGGCATGGTGTTTTTTCCTCAAACAAATGTTCTTCTGTGGATATGACATTAAAAAAATACTATGTGTTTGTAGCACAAGGAGATTAAGCAACTCTGGACACTTTGGATTTTAGATACATTTATGCAGAGTCTCATTCATGTCAGTAAATATCCCTCCAAACATTTTAGCCGGGTAAGAGAGAAATCTCTTGGTCATGGGAGCTGGGATGGATTCCTTCCCAGAAGTGAACTGTACTACTGTAGTTCATGCAGATGATGCCCAAGGATTAGCTAACAGGAGGAGTGATGCACTTTTGTTTTTTCATGTTTAACCTTTTACCTACATTCCTACTCTTCTTTATAAAGAGGCTGACCAAAACACACTGCTTGGCAAGGTCTCTCTCCAACATAGTTAATCACTATTACACACCCAGTAATTCCCTCTCTGTCCAAATAAATTTACTTGATACTGGACGGTCTCATCTCATGTACTTTTACATCCAGGCATCCCCATTTCCCACTCTTTCTGTCCCACTGTTAATTTTCAGTTTCTGTATCTTTCTATGGTTTTGATCAGTATGATTTAATACAGTGAGAGAAATCCAGAATACTGGCTCAGTTTTCAAAGGCTTATCTCTCTAGTTTTTTTCAGGAAATAATTGGATGACATAGAGTCTGCCTCATGAAAACACTCTGAGAAAGCTGGAAAGAAGCAGGGGGAAATGTGAGAAAAGGAAGACATCTGTACCTTCTTCAGGATAAGCACAGCACAATACAAAAGATATTAATAATTCCACAGTCTTTTAAAATTGCCTTGATACTCCCCGGCAAAGAAATGTAGAGGGCTTTGGTAACAAAAAATGGAAAGAAGAAAAAAGTACTGTTATTACATATTTGTTATGAGAAAGAGAGACCACAGATGTAAATGTGACTGATATTTTGTGAAAAAACTGTGTACAGTTGTTGATACACGTACTGACGAAATGAGTGTGTGAGTATTGGAAGCAGGACTGGCTGTTTGCACATGCCAGAATCTCCTGACATGTATCTGTGAAGTATACACGTATATTTTTCCAGTATATATGCCTATATAGTTGAGATACATGGAAAAAAACTCTCACTGAGACATTTAAACATATAGAAGCTAGTGTGTAGATTTTTGTGTAAAAAAAAGTCTAAATATTTTCACTCAGGTGCATCACCATGATGAAGTATGCTGACATGATATTTTCCATTTCCAGATGATATTGTGGAATGGCATTTCACTTTAAATTGTTGGGGTTTTTTTTCCTTTTTTTTTTTTTTTTTTGTTTGTTTTAAGGTTGTATTCCTTTTGAAATGTTGTCTTAAATCATAAAATCCTAGACAGTACATGATATCAGAAGTGACATATGTAGCTGTCCAAAAACAGAAGCAAGTACACCTGTAATCATTAATCATTATAGCTGTACTCGAGATGAAATTTTGTTTCATTTGAAAAATATGCTTTATAATAAAAATCAGCCACTTCACATATAATCCTTTTTATTTTATTTAAGTTGTTCTTTCCTCAGTGTCTTTTCATGTGATAAACTATGGTAAACAGCCAATCTGCCAAGCTAACAAAAAAGATTAAGTGCTCCCTCTTTACAGTGTCCAGGAAAGAAAAAAATGCCAAGGTGACTTCATAATCTCAGGCTGAAAATTTGCTATAAAAATATTTGGCCTAACTGTGGATGAAAATTACTGCTTCCTATTTTTTCAGAATTCACTGATATGAGCATTACATGCTGTTAATAATAGGCTTATAGTACCCATTCCATAGAACTAGTTTTCAGGAATTCATAGAGATATAACATGCTAGAAGCTGTTACAGCTGTTACTTAGAACTGCTACAGCTGTTACCTAAAAACTGCAGAGAAAAATAGAGGACATCCAAAGAAAAACCATATGAACATACAATCCAAGACTGTATTGCACATGGACATAGGGGCAGAGTTAGGGTTATTTTTCCAGTTTTATGTTCTAATTAACTGCTTTTTGAATGCTGAAATAATGATTTCTTATCATAGTCTCAGTATCATTTAGAGACTGGTGAAGGTTAAGATTTTGTTTTGCTTTAAGGACAGAGAAAATTCCATCATCTGGAATTATTTAGCCAGTCACTTTGTGAGAACGTAAACAGAAATTCCCTTTTTGCTATGTATCTTGGAAAAAATAAAGAGCTGAGCAATTCTCCAAAGGTCTGTTGGATCTGTACCGCTTTTACCCTGGAAGGTAGGAAGGGAAAAATGGAAAAAGCTCATTTATGGTGTACTTCTACTTAGCTGTTCCCTGCTCCTGAGACCCCTGAATTAGGCATGCACATATGTTCAGCTTGGCCTTCATTTTCCATGTTTGAGACTCCCTCTTGACAATGAGGGTACAATTCAAGTCACTCAATGCCTTTTATGTTTCAGAGGCTGCCAAAATCCCATTTGAGCAGCAGTGTGTATATACAACTAAGCCTGGCCTTGCATGTTGTCTATATTTAGTAAACACGATTACTTGGATCCTTCCATGTGGTTCCCTCATTCTGAATTTGTTATGTAAACAGAAATGTTACAAGACTACTCAGTTTCTCCAAACTCCAGCCCTAAAAAAGTGTCACTAACTGTGTACGTGTAGATACACAGGTGTGCATGCAGTTTGTGGTGATGATCTGACAGAGAAGCCACAAAAATCTTTAGGAAACAAAAATGGGTTTCTCAAGTATCTTAGCTAACCTGGAAAGGTTTAGGCCAGAAAGATGAGCATTTCAAGCTTTTGCTCTCCAAGATCTGTGATGGAGTGGAAATAACCGTATTGGGCAAACTACACCATCAGATTACACCAGGGTTTGTTCTGCAGGGTTAAACTCCCTGCTGCCATGAGAAGGGCCACAAAAAGGCCTGGGGGATAGCAAAGCAAGGAGGAGCAATCTGCACTGGAGATGACCCCCAGTTCCCTTGCCCTGGGCATGGGGTAGCACTGTGGTGTCCCCACTGCTCCTGCCTGGCCACAGTGCTCACACGACCCACAGTGCTCGCATGGCCCATGACAACCCATCACTGGGATTTTTGAATAGCAGATCTGAGCTTTCAGGGAACTCAGGAAACTGCTGTTTCTGCTCCTGCCATGAGTTGTCAAGGCCTCAGCTGGGCTGGGGGTTCCCCTTGTACAGAAACGTCCCACTTGACCACAGCTACCAGATGACAGCAGCATCTGGCATGTCCACAGCTCAAG